GTGACTGTTACCAATGATAGGACGTTTCCTGATGAAGCAGATGAACCCCACATGAAGCAGAACCCAACGAGAAGGAGACCAGTACGGAAGAAGATACATCACATAAAATTAAGAGATTTTGTTGAATTTTAATTTTGTGTTTGCAGATTACGTACATTTAATTAAGTTATTGTTAATTGTTTATTGGTTTAATGTAAGTGGCTATTGTTCAGGACAAACAATACTAAGAAAGGGGCGGTGTTACGACAGCAGAAGTCATGTGATGCTAGTAACACGTCATGAGCTTCTAGAAAATTCATGTCCCTTCCTGAAGCCTCGAGTGTTTACTAGATATGCGGTATTCTTGTATATAAAACTGCCAAGAAGTGATGGCAACAATGTAGTTGAATTGCAGACAGAGATAGAAACGGACAGTTGGTCGAGCGCGTGAGTCATTCCTTTGAATTATAGCGTTTGTTTAACTTATAGAGTGACCGTAGAAATTAAGTGAATTTCAAAGTTGTATTAGGAAAAAAATAAACTAGTTTTATTTAAGAAAGGAATTGTGTCGCTAAAGTTTCATCGGGAGGAAATTATACGGGAAATTAACTAACGACCAGAGACGTAACAATATATCTCACCATATATCAACATATTGATTTGCTGGTCCTTGTCTCTATTTGTTATTTCATTTTGTTTTTTATATTTCATTATTTCTAAAGAAGTGTTATAGCATTAAATATTAGAGAAACAAGGTTGAGCTAAAATTAAAGTTTTCCCCCCTTAATATTATGTGTTGGATGTTTTGCATGTGTTCAGTTATAGCCGAGGTTCTATTTTATCATATCTTATATAACCTTTATGTTCTTGCAATTTGTATTTTAAATTTCTCTTAGTTTGACCAATATAAATACTACTACATTCACATTCTATTTTGTAAATACCTGTTTTATCTATTAATTCTATTTTATCTTTAGTATTCCCTATCACGTCTTTTATCTATTAGTTTGAAGATAGAATAAAATTTTAAATACAAAGCACAAAGTATGTCTTAAAAGTAACTCCTAGAGATGACAGATCATGTTGAAACTAGTACATGTAGAGTGTCATTTTAAAGTGGAAGCCACAAGGCTACAATAAATTTTTAAATTGTGTAAATAGGAAACGTTGTTCTTTATTTATTATAATTTTCAAATATTACACAAGTGCCAGTAACTCATATACACCAAATTATAGTTTGTTCAGCATCAAACCAAACTAAGTTAGTTTGATAATACTTGTTACGTCTTTGTTCGTTGGTTAATTTTCCGTAGAAATTCTTTCCGAAAAACTTCAGCGATAC